AGGAAATTCGTTTAATATTTGTTTATATACCTTTATGAATAACTTCAGCATTATTTTCATCAAAAATTTCTTTCATTTTCTGATCAACAAATATTTGATCATTATCCAACACATATAAATAATTGTCTACAACTGTTTGTTCGTCATTAATCAATTCACAATTATTTTCGTTATCAAACCCAATTATGTACATATTGTTTGAATAAATTGCTGGTGGACATTTGATTTCCTTCTTTATATAATAAAAATTTATTTTAATATATTTTCTAATGTTGATGGAGATCGGATAACCGATTGAATTCGAGGTACGGTGTCTTTGTTTAGCGATACCGAAAATGGATTTGTTTTGAGTTCTGTTAGTTTGCACGCAGATAAGGGTAACTTTTAATCCTAATTGGACGATTGTTCAAATTTTCTACTCTTCTTTAATTTGTAAGGGTCAAAGGTATTCCCGGAGTTTGTTTCCTAAGTTTATAGCCATTTTGTTATTATCATTCCTCCCACTTTTCTCACACATTTCTATCACCCTATAACTGTTCTTATAAAGAATTAATAAAGAATTGATAACTTTAAATTAAATAAATGTTTTAATATTATTTTGATTTAATAAATAAATAATTTGTGTTTAATTGTTTATGTCCGGTGAATGAGATCAACAGGGGCCGGGGCCTATTTCTCCCTCGACAAATTCTGCGAATAGAATTCTGTGAACCCAGACCTAAAGCCCTAATAAGCTTGTCTTAAATCCATTAAATAATATAGCAAAGAAAGTTATAAAAATATGTAGAATTGTACATATAATATATTTTATAAAACTTATTCCTAACAATTTCATAACTTTTCTCATATTCTGAAGGATGGTTGTGTTCAACAGCTAGAAATTCATCAGATATATCGTGATTAGAATCGGCATGAATTATTGCTCTACATTTAAGTTCTCTGTGCGCCCATTTTGAACAACGCCATGCTTTTAATCCAGTTAGAAGATCTTGATTATAATTATAAATATAACCATTATATTTGATTGCTGTGTGGCGATATTTATTTAATGTTAGTTCTATCTAAATTTTTTGTATAAAACTTTTAAAAAGACAACTGTTATATATTCAAAAGTTTTTAAACAATTTTTAACCTTGTGCTCAACCATTACAATATATTCGTCATTCGGGCAAATTAATGTTTTTACATAATTTGTTGATTTATTTAGCACGTTTTCCTCCACATCTTTTTCAATATTATTCAAATTAGCTACAAATTTTGTTTTATCCATGTCTTTACATCCAATTTTTATATTCAGCTTTCGACAAGATTCATTATTGCAAGGCCAAACAAAATTCAGAACACGGAGATTATCAAATAAATCATTCATGTTTTCAACAAAGTCTTGTTCTTCTTCAACTTTTATATATTTAATATATTTTGTATTGTTTTTACGAGGAATGATGTAGATTATTGAATCATTTTCTATTCCATCAATAGTGCCAATATCCAACTGAAAGAATATTTTATTAAATTATATTTATAACCTAAAAATGCGTTCATTTACACTCCCTAACTGAAAGCGAATAAATGATTTGCTCACATTAATAAGCCCACAAATTGTTATATGTAATTTAAAATTGTCTCCATAAATATCTAGATCCTTAAAGTGAAAGCTGTCGTTTATGTCAGTCAATCCAATAATTGGATTGTCGAGGTAATCTCCAGTTAATTCCAATTTAAACCGTTCGTCTTCTTCTCCAGCCAAACGTTTGTAATAATTTTGGCCATTTTCGCCATTTTCACGCCAAGAAATCTTTACAAAAATCGAATAGGGTGAGGCAAAATTAAAAATGGAGTTGAAGATAATAAACAAAATGAATAACCACATTCTTAAATATAAAAATTTGGCACATTTAAAATAAAAAATATACTACTCTGGGTTAATTTATTTTATCAAATTTATGCGCCACATGAATTATTTTTAGGAATTATGTGGTTAATATTATCTGGGCCGTAACATTTTGTTTCGTTATCTACGGGTCTGTGAGAATATTCGAATGCTTGATCCTAGCTCAGATCTGTTAATCTATTGTAAGGAAGATTTTAGATAATAGTAAATTTATGATAATTATTGCCAATACTAAGACAACGGTCTTATTTAGAGAAATATTTAGCCCCCATATTGTATCAAATCAAGTAACGGCAGTTTGTAATACATGACATTCTGAATCAATTTTAAAACTAAATGTAAGCTTAATATCATCTGCAAACATAAATATGAGAACATGATTATGAATATTTACATGAATAGGTCACTATCTTTGTTACAATTTTATCACTTATTAGGCGAGTGTGTAAGAGTTAAAAAATGAGAAAATAAAAGCAGTATTCCGTTAGCTAAGTTGGTAGACATCGAGCAATAATTTCCATGTGTACAAATATCTATGCTGGCTAATGGCTAAACTTTGTTTCTATTAATACAACTCCCGTTTTAATTTATGTATACTAATCCCGTTTACAATGGAAATATTTGCTGAGCACTTTCCTAGATTTTTCTTTAAAAATATGATAAAACTTAATTTTGTTTTACATTATATGTATTTCATTAAAATCTACATTTGATTAATATGTTATAAAATAAATTTAAATAAATTAAAAAACTAAAATGAATGAATAAATTCAATTTTAATATTATTTATATTATATGGTCTGTTAAGAAATAATAAGCGCACCTAATGCAAATAAATTTAATGAAAATCCTCCTTGGCCTGTTTTTTTGCATCCATTCTGCACTAAACCAATAAAATTTAAAATAAATTCTCTAAAATTTTAATGCCATAAAAATCAAGACAAAATATCACTTGAACTTAATAAAATTTAAATTAATATTTTCAATTATATTTGGAATTATAAATGTTGATTAAACGTAAATGGCAGATGCCAGAAATATGTTGAGAGCAATTAACTAGAGAGCAAATAATAGCAGCATGTTTTCGATGTTCCGTAGACCGACAGTTGCAAAATAAAATATTTAAAACTACTAGTTTAATTGAAATTTAAATACAATAAATATATAATTTTATTGCATGACTTGGCTCTTCTGGGTGGACGCTAGTGTGCGGCGAAATGAAAGGTTGTATTGCCAGTTACAAATACATCAGAACTCCCAATAATTTTGAAAGAAAATGAAGGTATTGGAAAAGTTTTAACTGTAAATCAATACGTGGAAGCAGAAAATTTTCTTTATTTCGATTGGGATTTTAAAGGGTTAAATATAATTCCAAATATAATTGAAAATATTAATTTAAATTTTATTAGGTTCAAGTGATATTTTGTCTTGATTTTTATGGCATTCAAATTTTAGAGAATTTATTTTAAATTTTATTGGTTTAGTGCAGAATGGATGCAAAAAAAAACAGGCCAATGAGGATTAAATTTATTTGCATTAGGTGCGCTTATTATTTCTTAACAGACCATATAATATAAATATTATTAAAATTGAATTTATTCATTCATTTTAGTTTTTTAATTTATTTAAATTTATTTTATAACATATTAATCAAATGTAGATTTTAATGAAATACATATAATGTAAAACAAAATTAAGTTTTATCATATTTTTAAAGAAAAATCTAGGAAAGTGCTCAGCAAATATTTCCATTGTAAACGGGATTAGTATACATAAATTAAAACGGGAGTTGTATTAATAGAAACAAAGTTTAGCCATTAGCCAGCATAGATATTTGTACACATGGAAATTATTGCTCGATGTCTACCAACTTAGCTAACGGAATACTGCTTTTATTTTCTCATTTTTTAACTCTTACACACTCGCCTAATAAGTGATAAAATTGTAACAAAGATAGTGACCTATTCATGTACATATTCATAATCATGTTCTCATATTTATGTTTGCAGATGATATTAAGCTTACATTTAGTTTTAAAATTGATTCAGAATGTCATGTATTACAAACTGCTGTTACTTGATTTGAATACAATATGGGGGCTAAATATTTCTCTAAATAAGACCGTTGTCTTAGTATTGGCAATAATTATCATAAATTTACTATTATCTAAAATCTTCCTTACAATAGATTAACAGATCTGAGCTAGTATCAAGCATTCGAATATTCTCAGACCCGTAGATAACGAGACAAAATGTTACGGCCCAGATAATATTAACCACATAATTCCTAAAAATAATTCATGTGGCGCATAAATTTGATAAAATAAATCAAACCAGAGTAGTATATTTTTTATTATAAATGTGCCAAATTTTTATATTTAAGAATGTGGTTATTCATTTTGTTTATTATCTTCAACTCCATTTTTAATTTTGCCTCACCCTATTCGATTTTTGTAAAGATTTCTTGGCGTGAAAATGGCGAAAATGGCCAAAATTATTACAAACGTTTGGCTGGAGAAGATGACGAACGGTTTAAATTGGAATTGACTGGAGATTACCTCGACAATCCAATTATTGGATTGACTGACATAAACGACAGCTTTCACTTTAAGGATCTAGATATTTATGGAGACAATTTTAAATTACAAATAACAATTTTTGGGCTTATTAATGTAAGCAAATCATCATTTATTCGCTTTCAGTTAGGGAGTGTAAATGAACGCATTTTTAGGTTATAAATATAATTTAATAAAATATTCTTTCAGTTGGATATTGGCACTATTGATGGAATAGAAAATGATTCAATAATCTACATCATTCCTCGTAAAAACAATACAAAATATATTAAATATATAAAAGTTGAAGAAGAACAAGACTTTGTTGAAAACATGAATGATTTATTTGATAATCTCCGTGTTCTGAATTTTGTTTGGCCTTGCACTAATGAAACTTGTCGAAAGCTGAATGTAAAAATTGGATGTAAAGACATGGATAAAACAAAATTTGTAGCTAATTTGAATAATATTGAAAAAGATGAGGAGGAAAACGAGAAAAATAAATCAACAAATTATGTAAAAACATTAATTTGCCCGAATGACGAATATATTGTAATGGTTGAGCACAAGGTTAAAAAAATGTTTAAAAACTTTCCAATTTATATCAATTAGTATTTTAAAAGTTTTATACGAAAAATTTAGATAGAACTAACGGAAACAAGAAGTCACACAACAGCAATCAAATATAATGGTTATATTTTTGGTTATAAACGAGAAATGTCAACAGGATTATTAGCATGCCCTTGTTCAAAATATACGTCTAAGGATACCAATTGTAGAGCGATAATTCATGCCGATACTAATAACAACATATCCGACGAATATCTAACTGTCGAGCACAATCATCCTCCTCAATATATCAAAAAATTTCTAATTGTTAGAATTATTTGAATTAATAGATTATAAAATTAGACTTCCTGGATCTTAGTTCAGAGCTTTTATTCTAAAAAAGACTTTGTATTTATTAGGGCATCTAATGAGTGTTGATTATTAAAATTTGTATTTTAAGTAGGGTTATCCCCTTTGATCCCCGAATTTCTTCAATTATCCTTAATCCCATCAGATATATTTATTGGATAATTATCAACAAGACGTTTATCTTAAATAATTTAAAATAAATTTTTCTAAATAAAGAAAGAAATCAAGTGTCCACCAGCAATTCACTCAGACAATATGGTAAATGCTTACAAAATTGATTTTGAGAACGAGCCTAGTTGTGAATTAATCACTGATGAACAGACAATTGTTGACAATTATGTATATTTTTTGGATAATTATCAACAAGAGGTTGACCAGCGAATGAAAGAAATTTTTGATGAAGAAAATGCAGAAGAAATTCCTCAAGGTATTGAGTGATATTATATCATTAAAATATCTATGTTCTTAGATTGGATTACTGTACGAGGCCCGAAGCACAATATAAGAAATAAAAAGGCATCTTCATCACGTCCTCAGAAATTTACAGTATATTCAAGTGAAGATTCGGGAAATCATTGTGAGAATTTTAGATAAAGAATTATTTTTTCTTAATTTTATTTCAGAGAAAATTGAAAAGATGATTTTATTTCAACAAAAATATAGATGAAGTTGAAGACAAAAATTAGAAAAATGTTCTTTTTATTTTTAAAAGGATGGAAAGGGATTATTTAAATGGGATTTAAAATCTACAAAGTTATTTTAGTAGTTGGGTCTATTTGGCTTCAAATTTAAGGTTCGTGGGCTTTGAAATTATTTTAATCTGGGCTATGTTTCAAAATTTAATTTAACTAATTTTATTTTTATCAATATATATTTTAGCTAGATAAAATTTTTTTATTTATATTATCTCATACGTTTTATATTATAATAATATAATTCAATAGTTAATTAACGCAAATATCACTAAAAATATGATGTTGACAAAATATGCAATCCAAAACATTCTAGCAGCGCGCTTCGCGCGCTGCTAGAATGTTTGGATGCCTTTAAAGAAAGATTTAGCCCTGCATTTTTATTGCTTCGGGCCTTCGGCCCTCGCCGGAAAAGTTTAGCCCTGCTTTTAATTGCTTGCTTTGCCTCGAGAGATGGGTTGAAGCTCGGGCCTTCGGCCCTCGCGGTAAAGTTTTGCCCTTCCTTTTCATTGCTTGCTTTGCCTCGAGAGATGGGTTGAAGCTCGGGCCTTCGGCCCTCGCGGTAAAGTTTTGCCCTTCCTTTTCATTGCTTCGGGCTTGCTCTGCCTTTTAGATTTAATGAAAGCTCGGGCCTTCGGCTTCGGAGGATCTATACTCTGCCTTTGACAATTGCTCTGCTTTTTATATATTTTGAAAGCTCGGGCCTTCGACCCTCGCCTGCGGCGGGCCTTCGGCCCGCCAGACTCCTCGGCCTTTGGCCTCGGAGAAACTTTGCTTTGCCTTTAACCATTGCTCTGCCTTTTAGATGTAATGAAAGTCGGGCCTTCGACCCTCGCCTGCGGCGGGCCTTCGACCCGCCAGACTCATCGGCCTTCGGCCCTGCATTTTTATTGCTTCGGGCCTTCGGCCCTCGCCGGAAAAGTTTAGCCCTGCTTTTAATTGCTTGCTTTGCCTCGAGAGATGGGTTGAAGCTCGGGCCTTCGGCCCTCGCGGTAAAGTTTTGCCCTTCCTTTTCATTGCTTCGGGCCTTCGGCCCTCGCCTACGACGGGCCTTCGGCTCGCCAACTCCTCGGCCTTCGTTCTCGGAGGATCTATGCTTTGCTTTTGACCATAGCTCTGCCTTTTAGATGTAATGAAAGCTCGGGCCTTCGGCCCTCGCCTACGTTGGACCTTTGGCCCGCCAACACCTCGGCCTTCGGCCTCGGAGGATATATGCTTTGCCTTTGACCATTGCTCTGCCTTTTAGATTTAATGAAAGCTCGGGCCTTCGGCTTCGGAGGATCTATACTCTGCCTTTGACAATTGCTCTGCTTTTTATATATTTTGAAAGCTCGGGCCTTCGACCCTCGCCTGCGGCGGGCCTTCGGCCCGCCAGACTCCTCGGCCTTCGGCCTCGGAGAAACTTTGCTTTGCCTTTAACCATTGCTTTGCCTTTTAGATGTAATGAAAGTCGGGCCTTCGACCCTCGCCAGCGGCGGGCCTTCGACCCGCCAGACTCCTCGGCCTTCGGCCCTGCATTTTTATTGCTTCGGGCCTTCGGCCCTCGCCGGAAAAGTTTAGCCCTGCTTTTAATTGCTTGCTTTGCCTCGAGAGATGGGTTGAAGCTCGGGCCTTCGGCCCTCGCGGTAAAGTTTTGCCCTTCCTTTTCATTGCTTCGGGCCTTCGGCCCTCGCCTACGACGGGCCTTCGGCCCGCCAACTCCTCGGCCTTCGTTCTCGGAGGATCTATGCTTTGCTTTTGACCATAGCTCTGCCTTTTAGATGTAATGAAAGCTCGGGCCTTCGGCCCTCGCCTACGGTGGACCTTTGGCCCGCCAACACCTCGGCCTTCGGCCTCGGAGGATATATGCTTTGCCTTTGACCATTGCTCTGCCTTTTAAATTTAATGAAAGCTCGGGCCTTCGGCTTCGGAGGATCTATACTCTGCCTTTGACAATTGCTCTGCTTTTTATATATTTTGAAAGCTCGGGCCTTCGACCCTCGCCTGCGGCGGGCCTTCGGCCCGCCAGACTCCTCGGCCTTTGGCCTCGGAGAAACTTTGCTTTGCCTTTAACCATAGCTCTGCCTTTTAGATGTAATTCCGTGTCCCCAATTTCGTGTCCCCAAATTCCGTGTCCCCAAATTCCGTGTCCCCAAATTCCGTGTCCCCAAATTCCGTGTCCCCAAATTCCGTGTCCCCAAATCCGTGTCCCCAAATTCCGTGTCCCCAAATTCCGTGTCCCCAAATTCCGTGTCCCCAAATCCGTGTCCCCAAATTCCGTGTCCCCAAATTCCGTGTCCCCAAATTCCGTGTCCCCAAATCCGTGTCCCCAAATTCCGTGTCCCCAAATTCCGTGTTTCCAAATTCCGTGTCCCCAAATCCGTGTCCCCAAATTCCGTGTCCCCAAATTCCGTGTCCCCAAATTCCGTGTCCCCAAATCCGTGTCCCCAAATTCCGTGTCCCCAAATTCCGTGTCCCCAATTTCGTGTCCCCAAATTCCGTGTCCCCAAATTCCGTGTCCCCAAATTCCGTGTCCCCAAATTCCGTGTCCCTAATTTCGTGTTCCCAAATTCCGTGTCCCCAAATTCCGTGTCCCCAATTTCGTGTCCCCAAATTCCGTGTCCCCAAATTCCGTGTCCCCAAATTCCGTGTCCCAAAATCCGTGTCCCCAATTCCGTGTCCCCAAATTCCGTGTCCCCAAATCCGTGTCCCCAAATCCGTGTCCCCAATTTCCGTGTCCCCAAATCCGTGTCCCCAAATTCCGTGTCCCCAAATTCCGTGTCCCCAAATTCCGTGTCCCCAAATTCCGTGTCCCCAAATTCCGTGTCCCCAAATTCCGTGTCCCCAAATCCGTGTCCCCAATTCCGTGTCCCCAATTCCGTGTCCCCAAATTCCGTGTCCCCAATTTCGTGTCCCCAATTTCGTGTCCCCAAATTCCGTGTCCCCAAATCCGTGTCCCCAAATTCCGTGTCCCCAAATTCCGTGTCCCCAAATTCCGTGTCCCCAAATTCCGTGTCCCCAATTTCGTGTCCCCAAATTCCGTTTCCCCAAATTCCGTGTCCCCAAATCCGTGTCCCCAAATTCCGTGTCCCCAATTTCGTGTCCCCAAATTCCGTGTCCCCAAATCCGTGTCCCCAAATTCCGTGTCCCCAAATTCCGTGTCCCCAAATCCGTGTCCCCAAATTCCGTGTCCCCAAATTCCGTGTCCCCAAATTCCGTGTCCCCAATTTCGTGTCCCCAAATTCCGTGTCCCCAATTTCGTGTCCCCAAATTCCGTGTCCCCAAATTCCGTGTCCCCAAATTCCGTGTCCCCAATTTCGTGTCCCCAAATTCCGTGTCCCCAATTTCGTGTCCCCAAATTCCGTGTCCCCAATTTCGTGTCCCCAAATTCCGTGTCCCCAAATTCCGTGTCCCCAGATTCCGTGTCCCCAAATCCGTGTCCCCAAATTCCGTGTCCCCAAATTCCGTGTCCCCAATTTCGTGTCCCCAAATTCCGTGTCCCCAAATCCGTGTCCCCAATTCCGTGTCCCCAATTCCGTGTCCCCAAATTCCGTGTCCCCAAATCCGTGTCCCCAAATTCCGTGTCCCCAAATTCCGTGTCCCCAAATTCCGTGTCCCCAATTTCGTGTCCCCAAATTCCGTGTCCCCAATTTCGTGTCCCCAAATTCCGTGTCCCCAAATTCCGTGTCCCCAAATTCCGTGTCCCCAATTTCGTGTCCCCAAATTCCGTGTCCCCAATTTCGTGTCCCCAAATTCCGTGTCCCCAAATTCCGTGTCCCCAAATTCCGTGTCCCCAAATCCGTGTCCCCAAATGCCGTGTCCCCAAATTCCGTGTCCCCAATTTCGTGTCCCCAAATTCCGTGTCCCCAAATTCCGTGTCCCCAAATCCGTGTCCCCAAATTCCGTGTCCCCAAATTCCGTGTCCCCAAATTCCGTGTCCCCAATTTCGTGTCCCCAAATTCCGTGTCCCCAATTTCGTGTCCCCAATTTCGTGTCCCCAAATTCCGTGTCCCCAAATCCGTGTCCCCAAATTCCGTGTCCCCAAATTCCGTGTCCCCAAATTCCGTGTCCCCAAATTCCGTGTCCCCAATTTCGTGTCCCCAAATTCCGTTTCCCCAAATTCCGTGTCCCCAAATCCGTGTCCCCAAATTCCGTGTCCCCAATTTCGTGTCCCCAAATTCCGTGTCCCCAAATCCGTGTCCCCAAATTCCGTGTCCCCAAATTCCGTGTCCCCAAATCCGTTCCCCAAATTCCGTGTCCCCAAATTCCGTGTCCCCAAATTCCGTGTCCCCAATTTCGTGT